TACACTATCGAAGCCACGCTTGTCTTTGCCTTCGTAAAGCTTTTCATCCATAACTTAACAGCACTCACCACATACAATGTAACGAGCCCGTTACCGGATGTCGGCACTGAAGTGTGATAAGCTTTCTGATAGTTCTTAATCCAACTTGATACTCTCTTTTTGAAAAACACATAAGAACAGCAAGTTAGACTTAGTACTATCACAAGACCCACAACTTCATTGTTGGATGCCAATACCGACTAACCGGTTCATCACGTAGCACTTGCAAGTTTTGATAAGCTAGCTATTGCTGAAAACTGTTTAGAAGGCGAGGACAAGTGGGGGCTCTCTGGTATAGGGGATAAAGAGAACGGTGCCTAGAAAGCACAAGCGTTCTGGCCAGAAGCCATTAACTCGGCATTCTTGTGATGGGTTTCCCATGGTGGAAAACAGCATTGAGTAAAATATCAGGTTAAGTTTGCACGCCCATCAAATGCCTTCCTACCAATGTTCCTCACATTCAATGCCCGGGTCTCTCGCTGCAGTGGAAAACAGGGAGGGATCGTGATAGTAGGTCCTGGATAAGACATCCTTGACATCATCACGGTCGAACACAATAACTTCTGACTTCACCCCACATCGGATACATCGGATACTTGCTAGAGAACTTCAAGCAGATATGGGCTTGCTTCGACCGAGAACTTACAGATCCCAGATACACACAGAACTTTTCTTCCCTCCTGGTCATAACCGGAGTAGATTAGTCTGAACCAGAACAGCCATGAGTGAACTCACATAAGGTCCATGATAGTAAACAATGAAACACCCTCGAAGTAGAGTATCAGTTTTTTGTTGACGAGCACATCTAGTCCTATCGACCCCTCTCCCTTAATGTGATTGTGATTGCACGTCTTTGTTTGCAGGGAAACATCCCACTTCTATGTTTGGTTCAGAAAGCATTAGGCTTTTCCAGAACAACCTCCCTGATTGATACCGTAGAAGACCTGCTCTACACTTCACATAATTGCTAGGGCGTCGGTTTAAGTGCACATACTGGTGGAGACCAGGGCAATATCGGCAGAGCAAGATCATTCATAACTCCTGTTCCCGTGGACCGTGAGCGTTCAAACTTGGCAGGAGTACAGACCGCGAGATGGGAACACTTGTGGTAGGTAAGAAGACCGAACCCCGCCCATGGTAGGCGGGGTGCGCGCAAAGATTTTCTATTTTGCTCTAGGGGGTTCAAACTTGGTAGGAGGGGGCAGGCGGCAATATGGGAACCCTTATGGTGGGTAGAAGGGCCGGATTCCAACTACAGACGGCGGGGTTTCCGCGAAATAAATGTTTGTGCGAATCCAGAAATCCTGATCTCGCAGAGTCGGAGAGCAAAATGAATAGGAGCATAGGAGGCAGGATGGGAACATAGGCGATAGAAAAACCTCAGAGGACAAGATCCAATCTCTAGCGCCCTTGTTATTTATGATTTAGCTTTGGTTCTCTGATATGTTTTATTCGACAAGAAGGAAGTGCATTAATAGGCATAATGAACCTTGGTTCACTCCTTGCTTATGACCGCTACCCAGCGAAGTTTGCGATTCAATGAAGGATCACGGTTTTCCTCCGCTCTGATATCATTCATGGTAGAACTTACCGACCGCTAGTACTCTTGGATTCTCATTTAATGATGTAGCCATAGAGAAAAAGAGCTACATTTAAAGAGACATTTGATAATGGTATTATTATGATTCGACAACATTTGTAAGCACCATTGAAGGCCTTGAATTCCTACCAGTTGAACCTTTAATGGGTCATTAGTTCAAGATGAACAGTGACAGATCGGAACTTCTAACCAAAGGCATAGGCAGCGGCACCTTTTCAATACCGTTTGCATGCCTTATGCTCCTCTCTCTAATTTCGGTTCTGAAAAGTATCATTTGTTCCAAAAAAAGAGCGAGCTGTTTGCCGATTGTCACCGACAAGCCGACACAAAAAGTTACTGCTTTATAAAGAGGGGAGATAGTTCCCACCACAGAACATTGGTTCATGATGAACCAGCCGAGTCGCCCGACTTACGCGAAGTCTCAAGTCTTACTTCCACAAAATTGTGTAAATGTTATGGGTGGGAGGAGGGGCATCGCCTTTATTCGTCACTGAGGACTTGAGTGCAGAGAAGAAGAGGTAGCCAGCCTTACCTGTGCTTTGAGTGGTTCTGAGCGAAAGAATACACATAGTTTTTACCGGAGCCTGGGAGGCTGAGGAGAGGCGCGCCATGGTGGGGGTGATTACGTCGTGCAAAAAGCTGAGTCATGAACTGCATACTGAATTGCCTCACCCACACACTTCCCTACTGAAGCTCAGCTCAAAAACTGTATGTCATCGGCTGAGAAACATTCTTGACCACATTTACGGCCCCCTTATCTGCGCTCAATATCTCTCTTATTTATAGAGCAGTAACTTCGCCTGTCTGTCTATCCGGTTCTGAAAGCTTTATGATTACGATAAGGTGGTGTTATGAAAATCCTAACTCTATCTTACACTTTATTCTTGTATAAAAACAGTAACTTGGTGCGTAGGTTAAAGGCACCCTTAGCAATAAATTTAGGGTACCCTTTTTTGACGGGAATTGATTAGACTACTCTAGAATAAAGCGATAACAACGAATAAAGCGCAAAAAACGATGAACAAAAAGAATGACAAAGGGTCAAAAAAAGAGCTGGAAAGGGGGTTGGACGAGTTTCACATTGAAATAACGGCGGTTAGGGAGTGTTCGGGCAAATTGGCAAATTGCCAGAGACGGCAAATTGGCAAATCGCCAGAGACGCAATGTGTTGCCTGCAATAGCAAACAACACATTGCGTCCCTGGCAATTTGCCAACCAGCTTATCGACTTTTCACCAACTTCGCTCCAATGCGAAAGTGGTGAAGGACAATTTGAACACGTAGTCAGCCTAGCGAGGGGCGGAGGGCGACCGTGGATAACTCTCCGGCCCCTTATTGTGCCCTATCCAGCCGATTTCCGACCTCATACCTGCACAAATGGTATCAGAGGGGACTTCGAATTCAAACCATGTGCAAATCTCCGAAACTATTTTTTCGTGAACAGTGCCTTTAACGGAGAAGGGTTAATACAGCGGAGTGAAGTGAGTAATAACGAGTGAAGTGGTACTTTAGAGCTGTGATTTCGATCTGAACTCGCATCCTGCTATGTATGTCTATACAAGAATTAGAGGTGATAATTTAATTGAAGAAGGAGCACCGGGTTGGGTGAGTAAACTGAATATTCAACCAATACCAAAATTATAATCTTCCGCCTGAAACCGACTCGAAACACAGATAACTGGCTACCCATCCTTCTTTGCACTCAAACCCTCAGTGCTGAATAAAAGCTAACCTCCCAACTACATTTTTCAGTTCACTGACACACCTACAAACCGACACACCAAATCGCTGCTTTATAAATAAGAGAGATGAAAATTTATCGAAAACCAGGCACATATAAGTCACTCCACTGGGTCAACTCACTATAGTAGGTTTAATGGTAAGTACAAAAATTTGAGAGATTTCATAATCATATCCGGGTATTCGTAATACCTATCATGCTTTTGACTCATTTCAATGATGAATATCCCCCGAGAAAGGGAGGTACTCATCATTGCAATGAGTTAAAAACATCATAGGTAATACGAATTTGAAAACTTCCATGGGTCAGGTGAGCGAAAAAGGAAGAAAACGACAATGTGGGATATTTTCGACACTTCAAAAAAAGATTTCATTTATAGCATATGCAGGTTTTAAGGTCTGTTATTACCACGAGAGGTTATCGAGTTCTGTGGCGTACAGTTTTCGAAGTCACTTATCAGTCCTTGCTAGGTGGTGTTCTCTTTCTGTCCCCGGCTACCTGCCATTAGTTTGGAAGGCCCTTACACTCATGATCCTTGCTTTCTTTTTGAGTAAAGTTTCGAACGCGTTGGTCAGCAAGATAATTGAGGGCAGAACAGATAAGCATTCAACGCTTTTCATGTTTCCTCCTTGGACATATGTTTCTATGGGAGACTTCATGATTATTCTTGCAACATCCAGCGGCCGTACAAGTAGACGGTCGTTTCTTCCTGTTAGTATCGAATGATATCTGGACTGTGTCTCCTCACTCCTCGACTCTTATTTCTTATCCCACTAGTATTTCTTACCAGTTTATATATCTGTTTCTCCACAAGAAAGAGCTTCGTACTGAATTCCCAAACAGTCCGATACAAATCCATTGTGAATCCGCCGACCGCTTGCGTTCTCTTGAACTTACTGTTATTACTTTAGTTGGCAGTAGGTTTCCCATCTCACTACCTTAATCACAATCATGGAAGTTTTGCGATTAGGCTGACATACAGGCAAACCCATAGCCGAACTTACATATAAGATACTGAAGGAATTGACGTTGTGGCACTAAAACTGAGAGGAAAACCCATGAGAGTGGCGAAGTGTGGGCAAAACGTCGGTCTCAGGTGAGACGTGAACCCGCTCTTGTGCTTTCCCAGCACAGCGCTCCTTATCACTTACACTTCCTAGAACTCGCTTGCCTTGGCCTTCTTATACTTAGGTGTAAAAGGTATGGGATGCATCAACCTCGTTAACTTTTGCGGCGTAATAACAGCAGTTTATATTGTTCTTTTTGCTGAGAGAAAAAGCTGCCATTGGGGACTTTCCACAAAACCCCAGAGAAGTCTTACTGAAACAAATTTGCTGCTCACATGTTCTACTACTCATTCATACTGCAAATGATGAGCAACTTTGCTAGGCTTCACTGTTTTATAGGTATCAAACCCACGAAGTCGAAAAAAATCCAACGAAAGCAATTCTCAAGAAATTTATGGGACAACTCATCGTAACAAAAAGAAACACAAAAAAGACGAAGCGATGAGATGAGATTGTTCTGAAAGAGAAAAAATTTATGTGTATCAACTGTTTGAAACAATCGAGTACAACTTTTCAAAAAACCGCACACAACATTTTCCGGGGACGACGTCGGTTCAAATTCGCAGCCTTCGAAACCTTCGCAACGCCCTCTGTGTGTGCTGAAATGCTGTACTCAGTTATTCTTATCTTGAGTAAAGTTCCAAGACTTTAAAAGAACTGATTGGAACCCCTCTCTCGCAAATTTTCGACACATTCATTGAAGTTGTTCGAGACTGGTACAGTGGCTGATTGCCTTTCATCAAACGCAAGATCTGGGCATCGAATTTAGGATTTGTGCCCTCTGGACCAACCGAGCATGCTATCCTTCCGGTTGGTTGATTGGTACCAGACTCGCCTAGGAGGATAAAAGCGCTGAATAGTGCAGGACACATACGTATGCAAAACGCTACTACGATCCTGAATGGAAATCGAATGCGGGGAAGGGGCTTGTGCTTTTCTCTCGAAGGAGTCAACCTTTCCTTAAGTCTTGACTTTGCGCATCGAGTTAGGCTCACTGTTCTACTTGTCAATTTGCCGTTATATTTTTTGAAAACTTTGGTAAGTCAGCTACTCTTTTTTCAGTAGGTAGCGATATCGTGCTTAGGCTGCAACAGGGTTAAGCGTATGGGTGCAGAAGCTACAGCTTCGATATATCAGCTACTGTTTAGGATTATAGTTCTCGATTGGCTATTTGCCAAGAATCCCTTCACCTAAGTTGTTGTGGTAAGAAAAAGTAAAGAAGTCGGGAAGGAAATGAGGAGCAATTTCAACGCGCTCATCTCGCAGCGCTCATCGCTAGTTGCCTCTCAGCTAGCAATAATACCACGCCTATGAATGCTGCGTGTCCTCTGAGCAGATGAACTGCAAACAAGACGGCCAATATAGCTGGTTTTGCAAAATTAATCTGATTCAACCGCGTGGTTGTGTACATGAATATGGACTGTGTACATGAAGCGTTTATCGAACCCGTTACGGGATGCACCCGGCATCCGACTGCCCTTCGGGATCGTAGTGGAATTTTGAACGCATGTTTGGCTTGTACTTGCGGTGGCCATTCGATGTAGAACTCAGTACGTTTATCCTTTCAAACGAGCCTGATACCGCTTAATCGGATCCAGAAGATAGAAGACTTTGTTAATCTTTATCTCTATACTTTGCGGATATAGACC